CGTGCCTTGGTGCTGGGTGGCCCCACCCTTTACCTCACGCTCAGCGTCCGAGTCCAGCTCCCCCTCCGCCTCTCGGCAGGCCCCAAAGCCGGCCCCGGGGCCCCCCTCCAGCTCCTCTTCCTCCAGCTCCTCCTCCTCTTCCTCCCCGCTGGACTCAGAGCGGCTCCTCTCGAAATCGAACTGGAGGGAGCCGGCCCCAGAGCAGCCAGGGGCGCCCCCGACCTCCAGCTCCTCCTCGCCGGGCCCCAGGCCCGCCCCATCCCCGCCGGACAGGCCCGAGACCACAGAGCCTACATCCACCTCCATGTCCATGGCTGGGCGGGGGGCGCTACAGCGGGATCGGCAGCCGGGCGCCAGAAGGGACGATGGGAAATGTAGTCCTCAGCCTCTCTTCTGCGCTCGCCGAGCCGGCTAGTGAGGCACTGCGCATGCGTGCTAACCGCGATGAAGGACGCGGGGAATTGTAGTGTTCTCCGCCTCGAGGAGATTGCGACTGCGCACATGCGCCATGAACCCTCAAGGGATGCTGGGAAATGTAGTTTTTAAAATTGCTTCGCTCTGTCTGCAAACCCACCTTTTCTTAGCCAATAATTAAATGTCAAGCTACGCAGTGGGTCTTAAAGGGCATTAAATATCCCCTGGAAACACACGGGTCACAAAATCCTTCATTCCAGAGAGCTTTTTACTAACTGCCCTTAAAATTAATAGAGACGAGGTTGGGGAGGTAGTATCTTTCATTAGACCAGTGCTGTTAGTGAAAGAGACAAGATTTCAAGTATACACAGAGCTCTTCAGGTCTGTGAGAGGTACTAAAAGGGGGAGCTTTGGGACGGCAGTCTAAAAGCCAAGGACAGCACCAGTATAGCGACAGACACTGCCATGTCTTAACATATAGCGCAAGCCATAATGGTGACAGTTGAAAGAAATGGAAGTGGGAGGAGACAAAATGCAATCCCTGTCTGGGAAGACAGTGCAGATTTGGTCCCAGTCCTGAACATTTATCAGGCTGGTCAAAGTATGTCATTCAGGCTCCACACAGGGGCAAGGAGGAACAGGAGTACTTGTGGCACCTTAGAGACTAACAAATTTATTTGAGCATAAGCTTTCGTGGGCTACAGCTCACTTCTTCGGATGCACAGGGGCAAGGGTCTGCTATCATGGAGCAATTTGCAGGCGCAAGGCTTAAAGACAAGGGCAGACTAGCTCAGGGGTTCTCAAACTTTTGTACTGGTGACCCCTTTCACACTGCAAGCCTCTGAGTGCGACCCCCCCCCCTTATACATTAAAAACACTTTTTTATACATTTAACATCATTATAAATGCTAGAGGCAAAGCTAGGTTTGGGGTGGAGGCTGACAGCTCGTGACCCCCAGGTAATAGCCTCGTGACCCCCGGGGGGTCCCGACCCCCAGTTTGAGAACCCCTGGACTAGCTGACAGCTCTTTCCAGGGAGCGCTGATAGAGCATGATACGCCGCTGCCGTAAATCGATACCGAACGCGTCGCAAAAGGCTCCGGGCTCCCGCCCGTTTTGCCGTCAGTGTCGCAAACGCGTCGGCGCTCGACGGCGGCCCGCTGCCGGTTCATGGGGGGGCCTTGCGCAAGATGGCGGCTCTACCTGAGGAGCCGGCTGAAGTGGTGGTGAAGCCGGACCCGGACGGGGGTGTCCCGCCGCAGCCCCCTCCGGCTCCCCCGCCCGCCGCTCCCCCCACCACGGCGCCGGCGGAGGGGGAGGCGGCGGGGGCCCCGGGGAGCGGAGGGGAGGCCGCTCCCGCCAAGCCGGCCCCCCCGGGTCCGGCCGCCTCCCCCGCCCCCACGGACCGGCAGACCCTCCTGGCCGTGCTCCAGTTCCTGCGTCGCAACAACCTCCACGAGTCCGAGGACATCCTGCGCCGGGAGGCCCGGCTGCTGGGGGAGGAGGTGGCCGCGGCTGCCCTCAGCCCCGCGGGACCCGGCGCCCAGGGGACCCCGGGTGGGGAGACAGACGCCACCGGGGGCGAGGCGCTGCTCAGCCGGGTCGCCGCCGCCTCCGGAGCGGCCGGAGGGGGCGTCGCTGCTGGTGCCTCTGCAACCCCCGGCGGCGGCGCCGCTGTAGTCGCGGCGCCGCCAGGGAAAGGTGAGAGCCCCGGAGGAGGGGACGGGTGAAGAGGGAGCGGCCGAGGGAACCTCAGATGGGGCTGCCAGGATGGCGGTATCACCCTCCACATAAAGGAGGGGTCACCTCTCATCTGATCACCTGGCAAGGTTGCTAAGGGTGAGGGCATCTTCTGCAGTTAAGGGGGGCATCTGATTGGGACGCAGCAGCTGGAGTGGGGAGAATTCCTAGTGAGAAACGGCTACCTGAGAGACAAGGGATAGTAACAGAGAGGGTTGTATTTGCTTTTACTTCTAGGCAGGGTTACTACCTATCAAGATATTCATGGGATAAAACTGATTTTCTTATCAGAGCTCTTGTGTGCTAGCTTTACAGAAGATTAAAAGCACCCTGAGATTTTTAGCACCAACATATGGGTTGTGTAGTGGTGGTGGTGTTACAGTCTGAAGGTGTTCAGGTACTGTGGTGATAAGTACTTAAAAGATGCAGTGATGCAAATGTTTTGATAGGATGAGTGTCCTGAACAGCAGAGTTTAAAAAGTAGCCACCCACGATGTAAGGGGTCACTAGCAAGTGAACAAAAGTCTTTGCTATCAGAAGGTTGTTCAATGAACTGTCCAGTTCCTGGAGCTTGCATAGACGGTAACTAGAAACAAAATCTAGGTTGGTTGTAAATCACTTATTGTTGTTTTGATGCATGTCTGTGTGTGGATGCTCAGATTGTGGATTAAGTTTATTTGGCTGTAACTTGAGTTGATTTTTTTTATTATTAAATAACTTAAGTGAAAGAAATTAGTTTGACGTTTATTTCTGAAAGTGGTTAGAGATCTATGGTCGCTATTTCTCTCTTGTGGGAGTGAGTTCCATTGCCCAGGGCGATGAATCTCTCCCTATTCGCTGAAACTTTTCAGCTGTCCTGGGAGGTCCTGGATATGGAGGGAGAATAGATCTGTTGGGTAGCATTGGCCGATCTCCTGGAGGACTTTTTATCACAACAGAGGCCTTGAACAGGACTCTGTATTGAGTGGTGGTCCAGTGTAGAAAGAGGGGCTGTACTGGGTCACAGCAGTATGGAAGTAGTATGACACACACATACGGTGAAGGAAAGAGGATTTTAGCTGTGCAGTGTTTCTCTTTTCTTTTACAAAACAGGGAGAATACTTTAGCTTGTCTAAATGATTTCAGTAACACCAGTGAAGAAAACTTATTTTTCAATTATTAATACCTTTTTCCATAGAAACATTTTTTAGTAGAATTAGGCCCTAAAGTTGTTTATAAAAGCTAACTTAAATGGAACCCGGTAGCAGATAAAGCACAAAAAATATAGCAGAAGTTGATAGGAAGAATTGGACATTGAGTTTATCGTTCATGTGACATCGTCCATCTCAAATTTAAACTTTGTGAACTCCCATTATTTGAATGTTAATAACCAGTTTTCTGGAAAATTTGTATAAATGGGCATACAGTACTTACACAACCCATTTCATTCTGTGCTCTCAATGTGCATTACAATTACAAGGCAAGCATTAGCCATCATATATTTGCAGGCACTCTCTTTCATATATACAGACGTAATCCCTCTTGTGTATCTTGACACTTTTGCAGTTGGAGGAGGTGTTCCTGTAGAAGATCAGCCAGATGTGAGTGCAGTGTTATCTGCCTACAAACAGCAGGGGGACCCAGCGCTGTACGAGGAATACTACAGTGGACTGAAGCACTTTATTGAGTGTGCCCTAGACTGTCATCGGGCTGAATTATCCCAGTTGTTTTATCCTCTCTTTGTGCATATGTATTTGGAATTGGTCTACAACCAGCATGAGAATGAAGCAAAGTCTTTCTTTGAAAAGTAATGTGTTTACCTTCTTGTGTTTGCATCCTTTCTTATGTCCTCACTTTTGTGTGGTTAAATCTGTTAGCACAGGTTTTTAAATTTAATTTATCTTTTTAACGATGAAACGGAAATTGAAGAGAGGAAAAGAATCTGTAGTTGTGGTACTATGTAATGTTGCAAACTATTGTACATCTCCTTATGTTTTAGTCCAAGATACAGCATAGATGCACAAAACAGCTCTTTTGCCCGACAGAGTTATACAATTTTTGGATCATCTTTATAGTGGGCTAGCAGTGGTCATGCATCCTCTCCAGGAACAGGGATTTGCTGATGGAGGGTCATAAAATATATGCTTCCTGTTTTGGGTACCATACAACTAAAGCATGTCCAGATGCCACAGTAGTGGATGTATTATAAATACTTGCACTAATATAACTAGTGTTGCAAGCAACTTAAAATGATGTCAGATGTCTTTTTTTATGTGTATAAAAATAATTTTCTTAACCTATAACATTGTAAATATTTTTTCAAATGATAAATTACACAGCAGCTCCTCACTGAAAACTAGTAACATGCAGAGTTGGATATTTTAATAATCTGTTTTTGTAAGTTTCCAAAAATTCTTAAATTTCTCATTAAGGTCTGAAAAATGATTTAATTTGTCCCTTACCTGCTCCACTCCAGTATAACTCATCTTTGGATTTAGATCAAGCCTGAAATATTTCAGCCCAAAGGGGTATTCCTCCGCCCCCCCCCGATAATTATCAATAAAAATTGATTTGCAAACTTAATTGCAGTATTCCCAGCCACAAATGCTATCATGTGCTCTCAGTAAATATATTAAGCATAGTAGTAATCTGTATCTTTAGGTTAACTTTGTAGGCATTGAATCATGTTGATTTGATAAATGTGCAATTGGAAACTGTGAAATGTGCATGTTTTTATTAAATTTACCAGTCTGGTATGAAAACTACATTGAAAATGTGAATCTGCTTTAAATACAACCAATTAGCTCAGTTTAGCACACAATAGAGATGCTGATCATTTGTGGTCATTAAAGATCCCTGTGGCACTTTCCCTCAGAGTAGTAGTGTTAGTCCCAGTGACCTGGCCATAAATATTGGTGGTAAAATTTGCCTACTTGAAACTCTCACTGCAGTTTCGTTAGAAATGTATTCTTCACTTCCTGTTGTAAACTGCTGGGTGCTGTTATTGTGTGCTTCAAAGGCTGCAACATTCCATTCCAGAGGTAATTTCACTTCAGCTGTGAAATTATCGTATATATTTGTAAAGTGCTTTGGGATGCTTAATGATGAGTTACTATATAAAGGTATTTTATTACTTGCTATTAAGATGTACTACTGAGCAGTATACAATTTGTGGGTATTTGGGAGATT